TCGATGATTCGCAATGAAACAGGAAGTTGTTGTAACTTCAGTGTACATGCTCACATCTGGACCAAACTGTACATGTAGGATGAGAGTCCCGCCCTGAACACATGTACATGCCGACATTCACCCACAGTCATAGCGCCACCTGCTGGCAACAGAAAGTGACCTTTAACGAAGCAGCCCCCGCCGCACGTTTCACCTACGTGCACGAATTTTCTGTGGTACGTGTATCTTGTCCAGACGCACAAAAAAGTCTCTTGGAGCCATAGCCTAAACCCAACAGGAAGTCGGCCATTTTGAATTTTACGTCAAATTTTGGATGATTTACACACTTCGTACTTTAACGAACTCCTCCTAGGGATTTAGTCCGACCGACCTCAAATTTGTGCTGTGCCTTCTAAAGGCATTGAAGATGAAAAGTTGTGCTATTTGCAAGTTTTCGTCAATGGGCGTGTCCGTGGCGTGGCGTCAAAGATCAGCTCTTCGCCATGACACGGAAGTTGTCGTAACTTCAGTGTACATGCTCACATCTGGACCAAACTGTACATGTAGGATGAGAGTCCCGCCCTGAACACATGTACATGCTGACATTCACCCACAGTCATAGCGCCACCTGCTGGCAACAGGAAGTGACTTTTAACGAAGCAGCCCCCGCCGCACGTTTTACCTACGTGCACGAATTTTCTGTGGTACGTGTATCTTGTCCAGACGCACAAAAAAGCCTCTTGGAGCGATGCCCTAAAATCAACAGGAAGTCGGCCATTTTGAATTTTACGTCAAATTTTGGATGATTTACACACTTCGTACTTTAACGAACTCCTCCTAGGGATTTAGTCCGACCGACTTCAAATTTGTGCTGTGCCTTCTAAAGGCATTGAAGATGAAAAGTTGTGCTATTTGCGAGTTTTCGTCAATGGGTGTGTCCGTGGCGTGGCGTCAGAGATCAAGTCTTCGCCATGACACAGGAAGTTGTTGTAACTTCAGTGTACATGCTCACATCTGAACCAAACTTTACGTGCTTGATAACTCTCCCACCCCGCTATGGAGGACCGATCCTGACACAGTCAGAAATAAATACAGAAATAAATAAATGCTCAATAAATAAATAAGCATCCAATTAAATACACAAAAAAATAAAGTAAATAAATAAATGTAGGTAGTAATTAAATTATACAAGGAGACATAAATGTATATATTTTAATTAGTGCCTTTACTTATTCACCTTTGTTATAATTACCTTATTTGTTTATTCAACTTTATTTATTACTAATTTTTTAATGTATTTATTTATGTGTGTGTTTTAATATTTTTGTCTGTTTTATTCTTCCTTTGTATTTATTTACCTTATTTATTTTCACCCATGGTATTTATTTCTGCCTGTCTTTTTAAATTTTTGTATGCATTTCTGCCTCATTATGCAAATGAGGAGGGGCTGTGTCTCAAGGGGTCATCTTCTCTGCTATTGGTGGACCAGTCAGACAGGAGAGCTCCTACTCTGCCTGCAGACATCAACGATCTTGCCCCTCACACAGTCAGATGGCTTCCTTCAGTGCGCTGAGGTGTTTAACAACTCTGAAGACAATACTACCAGCAATGTCTTCCTTCTCTTTTCACGTAGACGCTCCGACAGACAGTGCTTTCAGTTTGCTGCATGCATGGACACAGAACTGCGGTATAGGGAGAAGCACACGGTCAGCTGGCTGCAGCTAAATCTGGAGTGCACTCGTATTCAATTCTGTATGGTAAATTCAGTTTTAACGGAGCAGAGCGAGCTGACAGGCAGAGTTAGAGACTTTTTCTGTCGTTTCTCTCTTTACAAAGACGCATGTTGCAGTCAGAGTCTTCTCTGAAGAGGGCAATGAAGTCTCAGTAGTACCCGATGCGAGCACCACATACAACACAATTTATCAAATTACACAACGGATATACAGTATGAAAATAAGATTGATTGGATTATACTCACAGGAAGTATAAAACCTGTTACATGCGTAACACAGTAATGTCAGGGAAATTACTTTACTTAGATTTAAGTACTGCAGTTGTACATTTGAAATACCTTCCTACCTTTCTGATAGGAAGCCTTCTTGAGGTGGTATAAAACATTTCTTATATTCTGATTTGAGTTGTGGACAACTATGACCACATGAATTAAAAAAATTAAACATTTCACTGCCCAAGTCAGCTATAACACAAGTCTTGTTCATCAGACTACATGCTGTACAGTATTTGTGGACAGATTTTGTCCCAGGATTTATTATGCATTTCTCTTCTTCGTTGCATGATTTAGAATAATAAGGTGAGAAATGGGTCTATTCTGAGTTCATCCTGCACTGCAGCAGCTAATAAAGTCCATTTAATCCCAAAAACGCTTTTCTTTTAGGCAGGCTGGAGCAGAAAACAACTCACCTTTCTCAAGTTGTACAGTAATGTCACATGTGTATGAAGGTGGATCAAACAAGCTAATCTTAAATGTCAAAGTAGAGAGGAGCCTAGTAGGCCTATTTATTTTCATTCATTACACAATATGAATAAGCTATGCAGACAGTTGTAAAGAAAGAACATCTTTTTCTTCTGTTCTCTACTTGTTATAGTTACACAGTATTAGGGGTGTGGGCTGTATTAAAAGTATCCACTGTTCTCCCATGCTCTAACACACAGTAACGATGAAATGTGTGCTGTTCTCACATTCTTCCTCTGTATGTACACATAAACAACAAGGCAGGGAAATATAAAAGGAATTTATTTTATTGTTTGGGTACATTATTGTTCAGTGTACATGCTCACATCTGAAACAAACTTTACGTGCTTGATAACTCTCCCACCCCGCAGACATCTACACGTCAATACCGATTTATATTCATAGCGGCAAGTGCTATGTAGCTCCACATAGGGGACACAGGAAGTGACATATAGCACCTTCATGCGGCGTCGGAACCGCGTAGGAAATTCACAGCCGCACCGGCAGAGCTCCAGAACGTGCAACTCGGCCAGCTCACACGCGGACGCGCTACAAGTGCGAGGGCCCGCCCAACGCTGCTTGCAGCTTTAATTTTTTTTTTTTTCTTTTTTCTGCAAAGTAGGCCCAACTGACATGGCCTAAACATACTCGAAAACTCACCAAAATTTGCAAACATGTCAGAACCGGTGAAAAATTTCGTATTCTACAAGTTTCGCACATGGGCGTTGCAAAATGACTCGCTAGCGCCACCTAGAAAATTGGAAAAAATTAGCCCCTCGTTCACGTTCAACCTACATGTACGAAATTTTCTGGGGACATGTATCATGTCAACACGCACAAAAAAGCCTCAAGAACCCATAGCCTAAAGTCAACAGGAAGTCGGCCATTTTGAATTTTACGGCCATTTTTGGATGATTTACACACTTCGTACTTTAACGAACTCCTCCTAGGGATTTAGTCGGATCGACGTCAAATTTCTGCTGTGCCTTCTAAAGGCATTGACGATGAAAAGTTGTGCTATTTGCGCGTTTTCGTCAATGGGCGTGTCCGTGGCGTCGATGATTCGCCATGACACAGGAAGTTGTTGTAACTTCAGTGTACATGCTCACATCTGGACCAAACTGTACATGTAGGATGAGAGTCCCGCCCTGAACACATGTACATGCCGTCATTCACCCACAGTCATAGCGCCACCTGCTGGCAATAGAAAGTGACCTTTAACGAAGCAGCCCCCGCCGCATGTTTCACCTACGTGTACGAATTTTCTGTGGTACGTGTATCTTGTCCAGACGCACAAAAAAGTCTCTTGGAGCGATGCTCTAAAACCAACAGGAAGTCGGCCATTTTGAATTTTACGTCAAATTTTGGATGATTTACACACTTCGTACTTTAACGAACTCCTCCTAGGGGTTTAGTCCGACCAACCTCAAATTTCTGCTGTGCCTTCTAAAGGCATTGAAGATGAAAAGTTGTGCTATCTGCGAATTTTCGTCAATGGGCGTGTCCGTGGCGTGGCGTCAAAAATCAACTCTTCGCCATGACACAGGAAGTTGTTGTAACTTCAGTGTACATGCTCACATCTGCACCAAACTGTACATGTAGGATGAGAGTCCCGCCCTGAACACATGTACATGCTGACATTCACCCACAGTCGTAGCGCCACCTGCTGGCAACAGGAAGTGACTTTTAACGAAGCAGCCCCCGCCGCATGTTTCACCTACATGCACGAATTTTCTGCGGTACGTGTATCTTCTCCATATGCACAAAAAGTCTCTTCGAGCCATAGCCTAAACCCAACAGGAAGTCGGCCATCTTGAATTTTAGGGCCATTTTTGGATGATTTACACACTTCGTACTTGCTCACATCTGAACCAAACTTTACGTGCTTGATAACTCTCCCACCCCGAAGACATCTACACGCCAATACCGATTTATATTCATAGTGGCAAGTGCTATGTAGCTCCACACAGGGGACACAGGAAGTGACATATAGCACCTTCATGCGGCGTCAGAACCGCGTAGCAAATTCACAGCCGCACCGGCAGAGCTCCAGAATGTGCAATTCGGCCAGCTCACATCATGTCAATATGTCTATATTGTTTTTGTTGTTGTCTACACTGAAATCTTTGTCTGATTTTATTTTATTTTTATATTTTTGTATGAGTAAGCGCTTCGTGAGCAATGTACAATCCTGAGTCAAATTCCTCATATGTGTACACATACCTGGCAATAAAGCTGATTCTGATTCTGATATTATTGCTAACTTGACCAGACGTTGCAGATGTTGCCAATTGTTGCTAACTTCACTGCGAAGCCCTACACGTCCAAAAAGGGGTCTTGACAGTTTTACTGAGGCACAGCACATGGATACAGGTGCATGTGCCCCAGTAAAACGCCTATGATCTACTCAGAATCGGGTTTATTGCCAGGTACATTTTGCCTTGCTATAAGTTGGTGCTTGAAGTACACATGAACATAAATATAATATATAAAAATATAAAAAGTATACAAAAAATACAATAATACTATAATACAATGCTGACAAGTATGTGCAAAAGTTCACAACATAAGCATAAAGCACAGCTGAGCGTTGTAAAGTGTAGGGGTCTAGAGTGTGTATAAGTGTGTGTGTGTGTTTGGGGAGGGGGGCATGAGAATCAGTGACAGTGGGGACCCAGGCCTTGTTGAGGAAGCCCACTGCCATCGGAAAGAAACTGTTCTTGTGGCGAGAGGTTTGGTCCTGATGGACCGCAGCCTCCTGCCATGCTAGCGGCTCTGTGATGCTGTATTTTGGCATAGTGTTGTTCTCAGCTTAAATATAATGTAAGCATGCTAACATGCTCACAGTGACAAAGCTAATATTTTGATATTTAGCATTTGATATCTAATGTTCACAGTGTTCACCATCTTAGTTTAGCTTGTTAGCATGCTAATATTTGCTAATTAGCAAAAAAATAAGTAAATTTTACTTATAAATTGTCTCTTCCCTCAGGGTTTTCAACCAAGCCTGATACCTCAGAAGTTGCTGTTTGCCTGACCCAGTGAGTGGAAATGATACACAGCAGTGGAGTGGTACAGTTTGGCATCTTTCACGGCTGATTAGCCACTCGCTATCTTCAAGTGATGATAAATCAGAGACAGCTCACTAAGATTTTTATGTCTGTAGCTGTGCTGATGTTCACTTGTTTAATGATCTTGTTTTATGGGGTACACTGAGCATTAACACATTCAATTTGTTAGTCGCTGACACTGTTTTGATTTTAATCGTTGATGAGAGCAATACATTTTGTCTTAGCTCCTGTTCATGAATTGATGTTGTTATTCATTGTCTTGTTTTCAAGTTTCAGTTACACTTGCAGACAGTGAATCTGACACCTCTGCCTCAAAAGGGAGTATTAAATACAGATACTATAAACTTGTCCTAAGGTGTTGATTATTACCATGTCAATCCCTACATTATGGGTTATATCACCTTTAAGGCCTACAGGACCCTGCAGGCCAGGAGGTCCTGGGTAACCGGGAGCACCATTCCTGCCAGGGTAGCCTGGAGTTCCCATGGAGCCTTTGGGCCCTGGTGGTCCTGGCTCACCCGGGGGTCCCTTCATGCTCTGGCAAGGTTCACACCCAGCTGTGGGGATCAGGGTCTGGAGCAGTGCTGGAAGTTGATCTGCAGGGCACAGCCAGAAGGTGCTGAGTAATCCGTTACAGTATATTAGAATATTTTGTCACAACTGCTTTCATAAGAGAGTCTGACCACATTCTCACATATAGCTACTGTGTGTGTGCATATTTATCATAGAATTGTGTGATCGTAGAGTTCTTATTCTCACTTCTACTTAGTGATTTCTCCTGTTACAGTAGGAGTCACAACATTGGAACAGGAAGTCAATCAGAAGCATGTTTGCTGCAAAGACTTTGGGTGCTTTCCACTAAGATGTCTATGAAGATTCTCAGTCATCCAGGTCATAGTTATCCAACGAAGGTTAAAATCAAGGGCAACTGGACTTGGTTGAAGCCAGAGAGAAGGAATAGAACCACCTGAAGGGGGCACTTACAGCCTGTGGATACCCTAAATGGACCTTTGTGAAAACAGCCACAAGATCCAAGAAGAACAAAACTACAGGAGAGGAGGAAAACAACAACAACATTGTGATTCCGTACGTGTCTGGAGTATCAGAGAAACTCAGGAGGATTTTCAACAAACATAACATCCCTGTGTTTTTTAAACCCAAGAACACACTAAGACAGATGCTGGTACACCCCAAACACCGCACACCCAAACACAAGAAAAGCAATCTAGTGTATGCGGTCCAATGCAGTGAGGAATGCACAGACCTGTATATTGGGGAGACTAAACAACCACTACACAAACGCATGGCTCAACACAGAAGGGCCAACTCCTCAGGTCAAGACTCTGCAGTCTACTTACATCTGAAGGACAGAGGACACTCGTTTGAGGACCACCAGGTGCACATTTTAGACAGAGAAGATGGATGGTTTGAAAGAGGTGTCAAGGAAGCCATCTACACCAGGGTTGAGAAGCCGTCATTGAACAGGGGAGGGGGTCTACGGCACCACTTATCCCCCACTTACAATGCTGTCCTTTCATCACTTCCCAGGAAACTCAACAAACGTAACCTATTGGCCTCAGGTGAAGATACCAACGTTGGTCGTTCAGTCTTGGCCACAGGTAGTCTTAACGACTGTAACGACTGTCGTCACAGCAACCAGGAACACTAACGAACCAGTGGTATCGATGACCCTGGCCAACGACCCCACTGAGGTTAAATAGCTGAGTTTCCCTGCCAGTCAGTCAGAACTGAAGAAGTTCTTTGGATGAGGGACGAAACGTCTTCCAGTATCTTCAACCAAGTCCAGTTGCCCTTGATTTTAACCTTCGTTGGATACTTTCCACTAAGTTAATTATGTTCCCTCCTTTTCTTGGTCCTCCAGCCCCTGACCACAAAACTGATCATGGTCGACCATCATGAAGGATGTTTTGATTAGAGCTACTGGAGCAATAGACAGAATCAGTGTTTAAATCCACAAACACAACATACTGTATTGAGTTTTTGTCAACTTTAGTCAGACAAAGTTATTATTGTAGGGGACTTTAATATTCATGTGGACGTTGAGAATGGCAGCTTCAGTACTGCGTTTATCTCTCTGTTAGATTCCATCGGCTTCTCTCAGAGTGTTCATGAACCGACTCACTGTTTTAACCACGCCCTCGACCTTGTTCTGGTATATGGTATTGAAATTGAACGTTTAATAGCGTTCCCACAGAATCCCTCTTTATCTGACCACTGTTTGATAACTTTTGAGTGTGTATTGGTGAACTACACGCCATTGGGCAAAAATTTCTATACAAGATGTCTGTCTGATAGTGCTGTAGCTAAATTTAAGGATGCGATTCCATCAGCTCTAAATTCATTATCAAGTCACAAAGTAACAGAGGACTCTGCTAATTTCAGTCCCTCCCAAGTCGATCGTCTTGTTGATAGTGCTGCAGGCTTGCTGCGAATGACACTAGACTCTGTTTCCCCTCTAAAAAAGAAAATTATAAACAAAGACGGTTAGCTCCATGGTATAACACTGAAACTTGCAAATGAAAGCAAATATCGCAGAAACTTCAGAGGAATTGGCGTTCCATCAAACTGGAAAATTTTCGTTTAATTTGGCAAGATAGTCTTAAAACTTATAGGAAGGCCCTCCGTAATGCCAGAGCAGCGTACTACTCATTATTAATAGAGGAAAATAGGAACACCCCCAAGTTTCTTTTCAGCACTGTAGCCAGGCTGACAGAGAGTCACAGCACTATTGAGCCAAGTATTCCCATAGCTCTCAGTAGTTATGACTTCATGAGCTTCTTTAATGATAAAATTCAAACTATTAGAAACAAAATTCACCAAGACCTGCCCTCAACTGGCACCGACTTATCTCTAAACTCAGGAACCTTAGAAACAGCTGTAAAACCAGATATATATTTAGACTGCTTTGCTTCCCTCAGTCTTTAGCAACTAACTTCAATAATTTCATCTTCTTCTTCAACCATCAACCTGCCTCTTAGACCCCATCCCAACTAGGCTGCTTAAAGAAGTTTTACCCTTAGTCAGCACTCTCTACTAGATATGATCAATCTACCTTTATTAACAGGCTATGTACCACAGTACTTTAAAGTAGCTGTAATTAAACCTCTTCTGAAAAAGCCCAACCTTGATCCAGATGTTTTAGCCAACTATAGACCTATATCTAACCTTCCATTTCTCTCTAAGATCCTGGAGAATGCAGTCGCCAAACAGCTATGTGACTTTCTACATAGCAATAGTTTATTTCAGGATTGTTCATCATAGCAAAGAGACAGCACTGGTGAAAATTACTAATGACCTCCTTATTGCATCAGACAAAGGACTTGTCTCTGTACTGGTTTTATTAGATCTTAGTGCTGCACTTCATACCATTGACCATCAGATCCTATTACAGAGACTGGAACATTTCATTGGCATTAAAGGACCCGCTCTAAGCTGGTTTAAGTCCTATTTATCAGATCGATTTCAGTTTGTACATGTTAATGATGAATCCTCCATGCATGCCAAAGTTAGTCATGGAGTTCCACAAGGATCTGTGCTCAGACCAATCCTCTTCACTTTATATGCTTCCTTTAGGCAATATTATCAGGAAACACTCCATAAACTTCCATTTTTATGAAGATGATACTCAGTTATATCGATCGATCAAGCCAGATGAAACTCATCAGTTAGCTAAACTTCAAATGTGCCTTCAGGATGTTAAAACCTGGATGACCTATAATTTTCTAATGTTAAAAATGTACAAAACTGAAGTTATTGTTCTAAGGCCCAAGCACCTCCGTGATGCATTATCTAAAGATATAGTTTCCCTGGATGGAATCGCCCTGGCCTCCAGCACCACTGTGAGGAATCTTGGGGTTATCTTTGATCAGATGTCGTTTTCACCTACGTAATATTGCAAAAATCAGGAACATCCTGTCTAAAAATTATGCAGAAAAACTAGTCCATGCATTTGTTACTTAGGCTGGATTACGGGAATACCTTATTGTCAGGCTGCTCGAAAAGTCCATTAAGGCTCTTCAGCTGATCCAGAATGCTGTAGCACGTATTCTGACAAGAACCAGGAAAACAGACCACATTTCTCGTCTTAGCTTCTCTGCATTGGCTTCCAGTAAAATCCAGAATAGAATTTAAAATCATTCTTCTCACCTACAAAGTTCTTAATGGTCAGGCACCATCTTATCTTAAAGAGCTCTACCCCGCCAGAGCACTGCACTTCCAGAATGCAGGGTTACTTGAGGTTCCTGGAGTCTCCAAAAGTAGAAAGGGAGCCAGAGCGTTCAGCTATCAAGCCCCTCTCCTGTGGAACCAGGTTCCAGTTTGGGTTCAGGAGGCAGACACCATCTCTACATTTAAGAGTACGCTTAAGACTTTCCTCTTTGATAAAGCTTATAGTTAGGGCTGGCTCAGGTGAGTCCTGAACCATCCCTTAGTTATGCTGCTATAGGCCTAGACTGCCGGGGGATTTTCCATGATGCACTGAGCTCCTCTCTCCTCTTCTTTCTCTCCCTCTGTATGCAACCTCATCCCATTAATGCATGTTACTAACTCGACTTCTTCCCTTTTCCGTAATCTTGTGCTTTCTTGTCCCTCTCCTCTCTCCTCCTATCACTTCCTGCAGGTGTTTCTGGCTCTGGAGCTGTGGACTGTTAGCAGCATGTGGTGTGTGTTGGGAAGGAGTTTCAGACTCAGGTTCTCAGCCAAGTAACATAAAAACAAGCAAGTACTTACTGCGCAGAACGTCCTCACAGAGCTTTAGAAGATGTTCATCTGAGGGAGGCTTGCCCTGCAACACAGTTACACTTGAGCTGAATCAGCGACTCACGACTGAGTAGCCCTGCAAATTTACATTCTGTCTCCACATAGCCCACCCACTGACAGCTGCGTCCCCATTACTCCCAACATAAGTCCTCTAGTACAGGCAGAAAATTACTTCCATTTTTCTTTCTTTTGCTAATCCGCTCAGAGATGGTCAGGAGGAGGTTCACTCACAGGTTTCCCCGGATATCCTGGTTGGCCTGGTTGGCCCGGCAACCCGTCCTGGCCAGGAATCCCCTTTGACCAACAGAACCCATGTGGCCCATGTCCCCTTTCTTTCCTTCAGGCCCCCTGGAGCCTACGTCACCTGT